ATGGAGGGGGTGAGTGTTGAAGCTGGTGCATGTGGCGCCAATCAAGTGGGCTGCTTTGTCCTGGATGGTGTCAAGCTTCTTGAGCGTTGTTGGAGCTGCACCCATCCAGGCAAGTGGAGAGTATTTCATCACACTCCTGACTTGTGCCTTGTAGGTGGTGGACAGGCTTTGAGGAGCCAGGAGGTGAGTTACTCGCTGCAATATTCCCAGCCTCTGACCTGCTTTTGTAGCCACTGTGTTTACTTGCTGATCCAGTTCAGTTTCTGGTCAATGGAACTCCCAGGATGTTGATAGTGGGGAATTCAGTGATGGTCATGCCAGGGAATAGTGAGGGAAAATGATTAGATTCTCTCTTATTGGTAAGATGGAGTGATTGGAATGAAAGGTGTGTAGTGGTAATGTTACTGGGCTAGTAATCTAGGCTGCCCTGGTTCATTATGTGGGTGGGCAAGGGTAAGGGTTCAAATCCCACCATGGCAAGATAGTGAAGCTTGAACTTGATTTTTTTTTAAGTATCTTGAAATTAAAAAGCTAGCCTAATGATGATTGTCTTTAAAAACCCACCTGGTTCACTAATGTCCACTAGGGAAGGAAATCTACCATCCTTACCTGATTTGGCCTACATGTGACTCCAGACCCTCTCCAATATGGTTGATTCTTAGTTGCCCTGTGGGTAAGAATGTATGCATATAAATGTTGACCTTGCAACATTTGTTAACATCAATTGTTGACCCACATCCTGCGAATGAATAAAAATAAATGAATCACTTTGATACCTGATCAAAGAATTGTCAAACTGTGCTTTTCCCCCACATTGAAGGGAAGCACACAAAGAAATGGAGGAAAGAACTCAGGCAAAATCAGATTCTGTCCCTTAGTGTTGGGTCTATATTGGAGACCTAGACCCAACTACATCCCCTTTCTGTGGTGTTTGGGGGATCTTCTCTCTCTCTCATTCAACGTATCAAGGGACAGAATGGAGTAAAACTTCAAAATTATCCTAACTGAAAAACTGAAATGTTTTGATAAAATGAAAAAGCAAAGAAAAAAAACACTTTTTTATGCCTCTGGAACTTTCCTTCCTGGGTTTGCCAAAAGCACAGTCCTGGAGATTCATCCAGTCTTTGAGAATTAGCAATCCTTGTCTGACATTCCGGCTTTTCCATGTCTTGTTGTAGCTGCAGGTTGGGCAGAATGTCTGGGAAACCAAAGCAGAGTGACACAGAGGCTGTGCATCTGTCAGAACTGTCTTCATAATTGGAAGAGTGAAGAGTGGGATTTGCAAATGATTTTCTGAACGGGTGCCATTGATCAAGGACAGGAAAGGAAGAATTGATTGTGCCTTGATGAGTCAAGGGCTAGCTGAATGATGGTCACCAGGCAACACGGTTGATAGACAGACAAGTTCAATAAGAACAGACCCACTTTAAATAACTGACAACAGACAAAAGCAATAGAAATTACGCTGCAGGTTCCAGGTGGAAACAGCCACCTGCCTCCTCCACGTACAGCCAAGTAATTGTTCAGATGATAAAATCAGATAAAGTGCGATTGATAATAATTGGAGCATTATAGCAATATCAGAAACATAATGACAGGGTGAAGCAGAGAATTAAAGAACGGCTACAGCAGAAATAGAGGCCGTTTGGCCCATCATGGCTGTGCCGGTTCTCCAAATCAGCAGTTCACCTGGAGCCATTCTCCTGCCTTCTCCCTACAACTCTGCACATTCTTCATTTCGGATAATTATCTAATTCCCTCTTAAAAGTCTCAACTAAACTTGCCTCCGCCACACACTCCGGCAGTACATTCCAAAACCTAATTACGTGCTATGTGCAAACATTTCTTCTCGTGTTGCCATTATTTCTTTCAACAATTACCTTCAATCTGTGCCCTCTCCACCACGGTCTTTCCCTAATGGTGGCACCATGCAGCAGCGATGCTGAGATAGCGTAACAACATACTGGCGATTCTCTGGATTCAGACAATGTGAGAAAGGGCAATCACTACACCATTACAGTGGGACTTCCCACAAAAGCTTGAAGGTTGGAAGTGGGTTGAACATTCTTTGTTATATTGTCGCCGCATTGTCATAGCTTTGGAGGATAATCGACTGATAACAGTGCCAGCAGAAAGTTACACTGTGGGTGAGAATCCCTTCAAGGCCCATGGAGGATTTAATGGTAGAGGTCAAAAGTTAGAAACAAAATAATGCATGGTGAATTGGTTCTGGGAAAGCTGTTCACTTGTATCTGATAACACTTCCGGATACAAAAAAAAACTGACCCAGTCCCACTCTCCCTATGTCTCCTTCACATTTGATTTCTGCATTGCCCTTAATGGACTTTGTAAATATCTAATTGGTTGCACAGGTGTTTTACTGGTGGTGTTCAACAGTTAGAAGCAAAATAGAAAATCACGGTGATTTGGTGATGGGCGAAGAAAACAATCAGCTGTGTGTAAGAGCACGTCTACATACAAAGAAAAAGCAGATCCAGCTTAGTCCTTTGTCACTCTCCCTATCTCCCCCTCACCTTTGACGGTTTGTATTGTACCTAACAGGTTTTGCATGTAAGTTATTCAAATTGGAAACGTGGGTGATTTACTGGTGATGGTTGACAAGTGAAAATAAAATATCATGGGCGATTTGGTGTTGGGGAAAAGAAAACATTCAGCTGAGTGTAAGAACACTTCTAGATATAAAAATAAAGCAGACTGACGGATGGGTGTGCAGAACTGTCTGTCCCAAGCTGGGAATAGCCTACGTACATCACAAGTCTGTTTTGGAGTTCAGTAATATATGATGTTTCTTGACAGTCAGGCTTCCTGAGTTCTTAGGGTGCTGAAATCTGGCTACCAATTGTCTATTGTATTTAGAACATAGAACATAGAACATTACAGCGCAGTACAGGCTCTTCGGCCCTCGATGTTGCGCCGACCTGTGAAACCAATCTGAAGCCCATCTAACCTAAACTATTTCATTATCATCCATATGTTTATCCAATGACCATTTAAATGCCCTTAAAGTTGGGGAGTCTACTACTTTTGCAGGCAGGGCATTCCACGTCCTTACTACTCTCTAAGTAAAGAACCTACCTCTGACATCTGTCCTATATCTATCACCCCTCAATTTAAAGCTATGTCCCCTCGTGCTAGCCATCACCATCCGAGGAAAAAGGCTCCCACTGTCCACCCTATCTAATCCTCTGATCATCTTGTATGTCTCTATTAAGTCACCTCTTAACCTTCTTCTCTCTAACGAAAACAGCCTCAAGTCCCTCAGCCTTTCCTCATAAGACCTTCCCTCCATACCAGGCAACATCCTGGTAAATCTCCTCTGCACCCTTTCCAATGCTTCCACATCCTTCCTATAATGCGGTGACCAGAACTATACGCAATATTCCAAGTGCGGCCGCACCAGAGTTTTGTACAGCTGCAACATGACCTCATGGCTCCGAAACTCAATCCCTCTACCAATAAAACCTAACACACCGTACGCCTTCTAAACAACGCTATCAACCTGGGTGGCAACTTTCAGTGATCTATGCACATGGACACCGAGATCTCTCTGCTCATCCACACTACCAAGAATCTTACCATTAGCCCAGTACTCTGTACTCCTGTTACTCCTTCCAAAGTGAATCACCTCACACTTTTCCGCATTAAACTCCATTTGCCACCTCTCAGCCCAGCTCTGCAGCTTATCTATGTCCCTCTGTAACCTGCAACATCCTTCCGCACTATCCACAACTCCACCAACTTTGGTGTCATCCGCAAATTTACTAACCCATCCTTCTACGCCCTCATCCAGGTCATTTATAAAAATGACAAACAGCAGTGGCCCCAAAACAGATCCTTGAGGTACACCACTAGTAACTGAACTCCAGGATGTCTTCTTACAGCTAGCCAATTTCTGATCCAAACCGCTAAATCACCCTCAATCCCATGCCTCCGTATTTTCTGCAATAGCCCACCATGGGGAACCTTATCAAACGCTTTACTGAAATCCATATACACCACATCAACCGCTTTACCCTCATCCACCTGTTTGGTCACCTTCTCAAAGAACTCAATAAGGTTTGTGAGACACGACCTACCCTTCACAAAACCGTGTTGACTATCCCTAATCAAATTATTCCTTTCTAGATGATTATAAATCCTATCTCTTATAATCCTTTCCAACACTTTACCCACAGCCGAAGTAAGGCTCACTGGTCTATAATTACCAGGGTTGTCTCTACTCCCCTTCTTGAACAAGGGGACAACATTTGCTAGTCTCCAGTCTTCTGGCACTATTCCTGAAGACAATGATGACATAAAGATCAAAGCCAAAGGCTCTGCAATCTCCTCTCCAGCTTCTCAGAGAATCCTAGGATAAATCCCATCCGGCCCAGGGGACTTATCTATTTTCACACCTTCCAGAATTGCTAACACCTCCTCCTTATGAACCTCAATCCCGTCTAGTCTAATAGCCTGTATCTCAGTATTCTCCTCACAGGATTACTGACAAACCTTGCTATTGAGCTTTGGATTCATGAGTAGCACTTTTATTATCGAACCACTCATTAAATTTCATACGCAAAAATAGAAATAGGTTGATGGTATCCATTGATCAAAGTTTGAATTTTGGAAAAGTACATGACGGAGAGAAAGGATCAGAAGTTGTCAGGTTAGATGAAGTGGGTAGAAAGGTGACTCTTGTAAAGCATCCACATGGAACTGTTGGGAGAACTGGTGTTTTCTGTGTTGTAAATACTGTGATGTTGTATATAATTAACCGTTTGCTTATTACCAGGACTCTTCAAGGTTGGTTGGGGCTTCAACGTTTTGGGAATTTGTATATTGTGTCTACATTGTGGACGTTCCCACTTGCTTTGCTTAATGTACTGCTCATTACTTTGCCTGAGCTGCAAAGAAGACAGATTTAAACAGCAGGAACCAGAAGCAAAATACACCCAGAATACAAATGAACTGAGTCAGCAAGTTTAATGAATGGAACTTTCTGAACTATTACAATGCAAACACATATCTAAATACACAACAATGCCTGAGGTGTTAAGCAACTTGGGAACATTTCTTGTCAATCCGAACACTGAAGGCTGAACTCCAACATTTAGTTTTCTTGGGAATTTTGGCTGTGGGGATGTGTCACATAACAAGATGCTCCTTGGAATCAGTCTGTGCTTTATAAAGCATTGCAGAAATTGTCCTGTCTTCACTCTCAGCCTTCCCTTCCCCATTACAGCTGCTGGACCCTAAAGCGACATTTTACTCTGGGCGGAGGAGAAGGGGCTGGGAGGCGCTGGGCAATGCTGAAACACCTCTACACCATTCACTCCATAATCTGACATCAACACTGCTCATGTGGAATCAACGTGAATAGGAGGGAGGTGAAAATGGCTGTCAGTCTTCATCCTTTCTGTTGGATTCCCCTTATATACTACAGCCCCTGGTCTTGGTTAACTCACACTGCTTCATTTTTCATTAGTCCCATCAGGTGTTAGAACAGGAGAGCTGTGCAAGACCAAAGCAAGACCAGGCCACTGACCAGATGAAAATGTATCTACTTTAAAGTTAAATATTAATGTTCAATTTCAGGAGGTTGGGAGCATGAAAACTACATTAAGACAGTAGAAAGTTTAGCAATGAATCCCCTTCTGCACCGTGACGTCCATGACTTTATTTACTGCCTGTGAGCAGCAAAGGCCAATTTTGGGAAAGCTTACTTTCTACTAGTCTCACATTTAGTCTAAAATTCTTCTAGAATGGTTTAGGGTAACTGGCTATATTATAGAGCACTCTGTTTACATGGAATACAGCCCTTCAAACCAGACCACAATCACTGCATGTAATAGGAGTAGGCACAGCTGACAAGGTAACTATTGCCCAAAAACAAAAACATTAACTTCAGTGTTTCCAAACAAACTGGGTGGAAACAAATCTGCTTCGAAACGCACAGTGCTATCAACAAGATACTCAGAAATCTTTCTGCTGCCTACAACAACGGAACAAAATCCACATCATCTGGAGAGAAAAACAGCCTGGCATTCCTAATTTTGCCCCAAGCTACAAAAACAAATGGCAGGCAAGTTAACACCATAAGGAGCAGTGAAAGCAGAAAAATGACTGATATTTATTAAAGCATAGACTCTGAACCAGTTACTGACTGACTGGGCGCCTCTACATCTTGCAACTCTTTCATTGAACTCCAAGACTTTCCATGGGTGAGGGACACTTTTAAAGGGACCTGTGGAAAGCAGAACAAATTAGTGATTGGCATTACTTGCAAACTCATGGGAAGCTGTCATTACATCGGACTAAAGGCCATTTGGGCAGTAAGTGCCGCGGGAAAGAATTGTACCTTCAATTGCACTCCGAGAGCCTCTACAGACTGTAGTGATTCCATGGTGTCTTTCACAAGCCCTACAATTGGAAGAAGAATGGTAAGTTGCCAAGTCAGGCTACACTTTGGTTCTTATTTAGCAATGAGTCAATCACATTCTGCTAATGAGAATCAGTCAAGGCAGATTTCAGATGGTGGTGTTACTGTAGAAACAGGTTGGATCAAGCTGCTGTAATGGAGGTGCTAAAATTCTATCACATAGAGTCACGTCTAGACTTTACCATTGACATTTTGCTTGTTTGCACGCTGGAGTTTCAGCTTTGACACATACTGGGTTGGAGAAGGACACCTGCTCCGATCAGAATGGCAGGGGGCCAGGTCAAATTTACTGAGGTGAGCTGTCAGCCCCAGGTGTTGGCTAGATATGCAAATGGCACTTTGGGAAGGCACAGTCTGGTGAGGCTGCTGTTAATGTGGTTTCAGCCTTTGAAGGGAAATGCACTTTCAGAGAGATGCCGGCCTGAGGATCCCAGCGGAAGCACTCGTGAAGCAAGTGAGGAATAGCAAAGCCTTTGCTCTTTGCCTCGGATGGGGTAGGAAACTAGCCCAGGGTGCAGCTGTCAGCTCAACTCCAGCAGCATTGTTCCAAGGATCAATTGCAGAGAGGGAAAAACTGAATGACTTTTCCAGTACTGTAAAGATAGGAGCCACTTCACATCTCTCACTTCCCATGCAGCCTTACAAAACCAAACTTTATCCTTAGCATTGGTGACTGTTCCCACCCCACCTTTCATCAACACTCAAATCACAATATATCTCCTTCTGCTAGCGTGTGCACCCCTGGCATGTACACAAGTATCCTACTAGCCAGGACTGCTGCTTCTTGTCCTTCCTTTTTAGCACAGACATTCATGCTCAAGAAGTTTGACACCATCCAGGTCAAAGCAGCCCCCGCTTGATTGGCAACACATTAACAAGCATTCATTCCCTCCACCACCGACGCTCAGTACCAGCAGTGTGTACTATCTACAAGATGCACTGCAGAAATTCACCAAAGATCCTCAGACAGCACCTTCCAAACCCACGACCACTTCCATCTAGAAGGAGAAGGGCAACAGATACATGGGAACACCACCACCTGCAAGTTCCCCTCCAAGAAACTCACCATCCTGACTTGGAAATATATCACTGTTCCTTCAGTGTCATTGGGTCAAAATCCTGGAATTCCTTCCCTAAAGGCATTGTGGGTCTACCTACAGCACATGGGCTGCAGTGGTTCAAGAAGGCAGTTCATCACCACCTTCTGAAGGAGCAACTGGGGATGGGCAAGAAATGCTGGCCAGCCAGTGAGTGAATTAAAAGGGTTGTCTTACATGTCATTGAAACTGGGCACATACTAATGCTAAGCCACCCTTCTGAAAGGAGAAACTGGTACAGAATGAACAAACTCACTCACTCAGCAATGCACTCAGTGCTCATATCTCTGAAATGGAACAGGAACCCAGAACTTTCTGATTTAAGGGCAGGAGTGCTGCCCATTGAGCCACAGCTGGAAGGAAAGGGTATGATCACGTTACGTTGCAAACTCAGGCGCAGGTGAACAGTAAAGAAGCTTTTTACAGAGATAGGGCACATGCCAGTGGCAATGACATAGCTCAGCAGCATTTGGCATTTTCTCTTCTGTTACTCTTTCTACTGTACTCCTTCACCTCACCCAGCTTTTTAACTCCTAATGGCACCTGCTCCTTTTAAGCAGCTAACAACGGCAGTACTGTCACTTACAAGTTAAGCATCAGTTAGAGGAAGGTAGGCTACAATTCAACTTACAAATGTGAATAGTGTCTGAGGTTTGGAAATAAACTAACCTGCTAATTCCTGAATCTGAGAGTCTTCAACCTCAAACAGCAGCTCATCATGAATCTGAGCTACAAGCCTAGAACAGAGAGTTCAGATTGACACGGTTACAGATGCTATCAACATATTTGTCTCCCAAAGTTCTCTACAGCTGTGCAAGTCTGCTTAGCTTTCACCATGAGTACTGTTATCCCACTGAACACATCCACACTCCAGCTCAGGGAAACACTCAGGCATGCGGATACGTTGAAACACACACTGAGCAAGTCCTTCTTACAGAGTAGCTCTTGAAGGCAGCCCCACTGCTGAGGCAATTTTGCCCATGGGATGCATGGTTAGGTAGGAATTCACATGGGTAACGCAGAGAGCATTTCCACAAACAAAGCAGAGAATTCAACAGAGATAACAAGGTGTACAGCTGGGTGAACACAGCAGGCCAGGCAGCATCAGAGGAGCAGGAAAGCTGATGTTTCAGGTCTGGACCCTTCTTCACCTTCTACACCTTGTTATCTCAGATTCTCCAGCATCGGCAGTTCCTACTATCTCTGAGAGAATTCAACAGGGAGCTCTGCAGCATTTCAGCGAAGAGACATTAAGTGAAGCGTTCGACTTTTGTAGGTGACTTCAGTGCTGTGGAGAGGTTCTAAAAGCTGCAATTGTTCTTCCTCTGCTACAGGAAGGTGTTTAAAACTAGTAGGACTTTAATCGAATAAGTATGGAGAAACTGGTGCCACTGACAGAGAGGTCAGTATCCAGAGGACAGGAATTTTAAACTAACTGGCAAAATAACTAGAGAGAGACTGTATTTTTTAATGCACTGAATTGTTACAATCTGGAATGTCCTGTAAGAGTGGTAGCCTCACCACAACGTAAACCCTACAATTTATATATTACATAATCTAAACTCCCTTTGATCGATTCCAGATTTTTGCCCCCACTGTTCAACCTGGAGGCCACATCATCTTCAGAATTTTCTTTGTACTGAGCTGGCTATAGGTTTTGTAAGTTATGGTCTAATATCAAGCTGGACATTTCTGCTGATGGGCTGACAATGTTGTGGCTGCATGCGTGCTCATGGGAACATTGCTGAAGACGATTCCAGCTATTGATCATTCTCTGTGTGACAAAGGACGAGCTGATACCAGTCTAAGGCTTAGCCTTTAGGACAGGCTACACTCCAGTCCCATTGGCTTTGTAGTTTTTGAAAATTATGCTTGCTAATCATTTCTATTCCACATGAAAGGCAAAAGAATAACTAGGGAGAAATTGGGCCTCTTAAAGATCAACAAGGTCGGCTATGTGCGGAACCACAAGAGATGGGTATGATCCTAAATGAATATTTCTTGTCAGTATTTACCATCAAGAAAGGCATGGACACTAGGGAACTTGGGGAAATAAATAGCGGTCTTGAGGAGAGTCCACATTACAGAAGAGGAGGTGCTAAAAGTCTTAAAACGCATTAAGGTAGATAAATCCCCGGAACCCGATGAAGTGTATCCCAGAGCTTTGTGGGAAGCTAGGGAGGAAATTGCAGGGCCCATAGCAGAGATATTTGTATCATCGACAGCCATGTGTAAAGTGCCTGAAGATTGGAGAGTGGCTAATTTTGTGACATTATTTAAGACAGGCTGCAGGCAAATGCCTGGGAACTACATACTGGTGAGCCTAACGTCTATGGTGGATACGTTGTTAGAGGGGACTCTTGAGAGACAGGATCTACAGGCATTTAGAAAGGCAAGGGCTCAGCATGGCTTTGTGCTGGGAACTCGCGTCTCACAAATTTGATTGAGTTTTTTGAAGGGGTGACCAAGAAAGTAGATGAGGGCTGTGTTGTAGATATTGTCTACGTGGACTTTAGCAAAGCCTTTAACGAGGTTCCGCACAGTAGACTGGTTAGTAAAGCTGGATCACATGGGATCCAGGGAGAGCTAGCCAACTAGATAGAAAATTAGTTTGACGGTAAAAGACAAAGGATGGTGATATAGAGTTGTTTCTCAGACTGGAAGCCTGTGACCAGCAGTGCGCCACAAGGATTGGTGCTGGGTCCACCATTATTCATCATTTGTGTAATGATTTGGATGAGAATTTAGAAGGTATGGTCAGTATGTTTGTGGATGTCACCAAGATTGGTGGTATAGTGGCCAGTGAAGAAGATTATCTGGGAATGCAGCGAGATCTTTATCAACTGGGCCAGTGGGCTGAGGAATAGCAGATGGAATTTAGTTTAGATAAACGTAAAGTGTTGCATTTTTGTGGGTCAAATGAGGTCAGGACTTACACAGACAATGGTAGGGCTCTACAGAGTATTATAGAACAAAGAGATTGAGGAGTACAGGTTCATAGCTCCTTGATAGTGGAATCACAGCTAGACAGGGTGGTGAAGAAAGCTTTCAGCATGTTAGCTTTCATTGGTCAGTGCATTGAGTATAGGACTTGGGACGTCTTGTTGCAGCTGTACAAGGCACTGGTGCAACATCTCGTTGCAGCTGTACAAGTGCTGGTCCAAGGTAGCGGAAGACCGTCTCCAGGACTGCTTGGACTCGGTAGATTGGACTGTGTTCAAGTGTTTAGCGGAAAACCTAGACGAGTACGCCATCACCGTCACAGACTTTGTTAGTAAATGCGTGGGGACTGTGTACCAAAGAAATCAATCCGAGTGTTCCCCAACCGTAAACCTTGGGTGAACCAGGAAACCCACACCCTACTGAAGACCAGACGTGCAGCATTCAAGTCGGGTGACCCAGACCAATACGGAAAATCCAGATATGGCCTCCACAAAGCCATCCGGGAGGCCCAGTTAGAGGTCCAGACCTACCGAGCAGACTCCTGCCATCTATGGCCAGGCCTAAACAACATTACCAGAAAGAAAATGAAACAGTGTAAGACAGCGGACAATGACACATCCCCACTCTGACACGCTCAATGCTTTCTGTGCTTGCTTTGAGCAGAATACCACCAGCGTGGCAACACCTGCCCCTACAGCCCCGGACACACCTGTTCCCTCTGTCACCGCTTCAGAAGTCAGGTCAGTCTCCCTGGGAATCAACCCAAGGAAAGCAATGGGCTGGATGGTATCCCCGCCAAGCACGCAGATCCTGTGCGGACCAACTGGCGGAGATATTCACTGACATCTTCAACCTCTCCCTCCGACAAGCCAAAGACCCGAACTGCTTCAAGAAGACCACCATCATCCCAATTCCCAAGAAAACACATGCAGTCTGCCTTA